TTCCCCTCCTCCAAAGCCCTCAGCACTTCCTACATCTCCCATGTCCTTGTGTCTCCTGCCGGTGTGGTGCTGACTTGTGTCCTTGTCTCCCTCTACTCCAGGGCCATGAGCTCCATGAGGGATTGGGTCTAATTCATGGGACCTCAAGTGGGAGCCGCTCCTCTCTCTCTTCTGTGCGGGTGTGTAGTGTGTATATATGTGGGTACGTGTATATTTATGTCTACATATGTTTAAGTTAGACCATATTATACAAGCGTTTACTTGCTTTTTCCCCACTTTATATTCTGTCAGAGACCCCTTTCCAAGTTAATGTAAATATAAATGATTTTTTAAAGGTTGCATAATATCCCATTGCATAGCTGTACCATCCTTTATTTAACCTATCCTCTGCTGATGGACATTTTAGACTGTTTCCAATTGTCACTGTTAAAAACAATGCTGAAATAGACATCTTTGTGTGCATGTCTTTTCCTGTCTGTGCTGTTGCATCTTAGGTGTAAATTCTTAAAAATAAGATTGCTGGGTCAAAAGACATGTACTTTTTAAGTTTTGATGCAAATTGGGAATTCCCTCTAGAAATCTTTGCGAACCCCCCCACCCCACAGGTCTCTGTGTTTCCGTCTGGTCTTCCATTCTTCCCTTCAGTCAGGTTTCTCTCCAGTGAGGTCACTTAAGCCACAACCTTTTTGGGCCTTGGTTTCTCAACTTTGAAATGAAGGAGGTCAAGGGGATGACCTTCCAGGCCCTTCCCTCTGAATTGCCAAGGCGCCGAGCCTCATAAGCAGCCCACTGTTACACCAAGAAGGCTGCAGTTCGGCAACTTGGACCTCCCTGGACTGCAGCTTAGTTTCCAAGCAGGAGCTGACTATTGGAGAAACCAGTCATAAAATGTTGGCCCAATCTAGTCCTCGCTCCCAAACAACTGAGGCCTTAATGGGCCCTGGATATTACTGGTCAGCAAGCTAGTTACCTAGTGAACCTCCTCTTCCAAGGGCAAGCCCATCTCAAACCTACAGCACTCTCCTAAAGTCAGATTTAAGCTCCGATGTTAGACTTCACATTTGTAATTTGTGTCACATATTTTTGCCGGTGGCTTCATTGTAGCCATCTGATGGGAATCTGGATAAACTTTTAGAAGGAACTAAAGGTATACCCACACATCTCTCAGAAGACCTCTAATGGATCTGGCATCTCCCATGAGTCGTCTCTAGGCCCCACAACAGCCAGTGAGGCAGGTGTTACAGAGGAGGACACTGAGGTTCAGGGGTCCCACAGCTGCCAAGCAGAGTCCACTGGACCACAGGGCTCTCAGCTCACACTTGCTCTAAGAAAGAAATCCAGAGGAGCTAAGAGTTGGGTTTTCTGGGGTTTATTCTAAGGAACACTCGTAAAAGCAGCTGTATTACAAGTTCCCCCCCCAACTTCCCCTGGCCCACCTTAGAGCTCAGCCCACCCACTTTCCCAGTTTGCAGATGAAGAGACTGAAGTTCAGGTTCTCAAAGCTGGTTGGGGCAGAGCTGGGACTAGGAGAGGGATGCGAAAGCTCTTTCTACCGTGGCCGGCCTCTCTCTGATGGGGCATTGCTGGAGGCTTGTAGCTTCTCTGAGATGCTCAGGATTCCCAAGGACTTGAAGGGCACTGTGCTTGTGGGGTCAGTAAAAGCTGATTTCTTTTTAGAAATTTAAAGAGCTGGGGCTATTAGCAGCTGATTTTTATTCAGGAGTCCTCAGCCAGAACTCTTTGCAGACTTTCCAGGAGGGTGTATTTCTGCCCTTAGGAGCCTGCAGTGGCCACTTTGAAAATGGTGCTGTCGATGAGCCACATCCTTGGGACCTGGGGACTCCAAATGGGGACTCCACTGGCTGATCCCACAAGATGGGCTTTCCATGTGCAAATGTGGTAAAGTGTGTGTTCCTGGGCTTTCTAGCTCAGGATCCTGAGAATAACCCCCATGTGTCCATTCAATAAATATGCACCGAGGGCCACCACATGATCATTCCTGAGATGGCCTGGGTGTGGCCCAAATCCCCTTCCTTCCTGAAGGCCTGGCAGGGCCTCTCCAACCCTCACTTCCCACAGACCACTCTGCTCCAGCCACACTGGCCCTTCTTCCATCCTTGAATGTGCCAAGATCATTCCAGCCTCAGGGCCTTTGCCCCTGCCATCCTCTCTGCCTGGAACATCCTCCCCAGGTCTTTGTGTGGGTGGTCTCACCATTCAGATTTCAGCCAAATGTGACCTCCTCAGAGGCCATCCAGGACCCTGTCAAACCAGCAGCATCCCACCACTTGGTTTATTTGTTTATTTGTTTATGACTCTCTGAAATGGTTATTTATTCATCTGTGTATTGTCTGTCTCCCCCACTAGAACATAAACTTCAGGAGGGCAGGGCCCTTGGCTTCTTGCCGTGTGTCGCAGTGTCTAACACAGTGCCTGGCCCAGCCCAGATGCTCCATAATCCACTGGACGAATCACTGGGGAAGGCTTATTTCTATATTAGTGTCTTATTTCAGTGAAAATATCTGTAAATATTTAGGGGTAGACCTGGATTGGAAAGCTCTATGGCAGATTCTTAACCCACGTTGTTTTAAATCTGTATTTATTTATCCTGACAGAAAACATGGGGTTTCTGGATCAGAGAACAGACCCATTGTTTATTCTCACGGTGATCTTATTGCTGGCTCCCCACGCCCCAGCTCCTCACAGGGCGGTGTGGGAGAGCCCGTGTTCCCTGCATGCACAGGGGTCTGTAGCACAGGAGAGGATCCCCGAAAATACGACTCCTGGAGTTTATAGAGGGCGGGGGCACAGCTGCCCCTCCTCCCTCCGGGCCTTTGCCCCGAATACAAATGACCCTGGAGAGAGGAGGGGAGGGCACTAGGTTACACCCACCGGAATGTAAACAAAGGACTCAGGACAGAGGTCCCTCAGTCTCCCTGGAGGTCTGTATCTTTAACTGCCAAAGCTTGCTCAAAGTCAGTCATCCTTTATCCCAAGAGCCAGCACTCTGTGCTCAGAACACGCTGACCATGGAGGAAGCATGAAAATATTCACAAAACATCGTTTCCCAGCATACATCTCCTGAATTGAAAAGTCCCAGCCACCGTCTTTGAGTGTCTATACTTGCCTGGAATTTTATATGCACTGTGAACCCCGTGGTGACAGACCCTGGCATCCTCTTTTGGCAGATGAGGAAGCTGAGACTCAGAGAGGCTGAGTGACCAACTGGAGGTCAGTTGGCACCAAAAGGCAGGGCTGAGACGAGACCCTAGATTTGTGGGCACCTCAAGCCTATGTTCTCTCCTCTCTACCACCTGGGTTCCCCAAAGTGGTCAAGTTGGTTTTAACATATTTGATTAGTTGCAGTGAAGCTTTTGAAAAGGGAAGCCTCCTGTCTATTTATTCCACACGTACTATGTGCTGGGTGCTGTGTTAAGCATGGAAAAATGACGTGGGCATGGCCCTTGGTCCTCATGGAACCCACCGTCTTTCGTGAGAGGCAGACATTACCCAGAGAATTAGCCAGAGTTAATAACAAGGGTGGCAAGGCAAAAGAGAAGCACAAGTGCTAACCCAGTCTGGGGGCCATCCTCAGAGGGGACATCCTGCTGGGGCCTGAGGACTGAGTCCAAAAGCTTGTCCCAGGCAAGGCATGGGGGAAGGATGTTCTGGTTGCAGGGACTGGCGAGTTCAAGGGGAGGTGAAAGGCTGAGGGACAGTCACCTGGGAGGGAGGCAGGACCTTGCAAGGCCCTGTTGGCCATGAGGAAGGGGACTGCTCTTATCCTCAGAGCACTGGGGAGCCACTGCAGGCTTAAGCAGGGGAAGAGAGGGGATTAGCTGTATCAACTTCTCACTCATGTTGGATAGCCACATGTCCTCATTAGAGCGAAATTCCTTTTCTGCTCTTTCCTAGGAACTGGGGAAGAAAGACTGAAAGATGTGAGAAAGAATAAATTCAGGGAAAAGCAAATTACTTAGAATAAGGTTTATGGTTCTTTGGCGACAAGGGAGTATCCCAGCATGTCATGGCCATGGAGGAGAGCAGCCGTTAGTGACTTTTCCGCATCTATCACCCTGTGTTCACCTGGCTGTCAGCCTTTTGGAAGGGCTGCTTGCCCGACCCCTGGCTGGCTGGCAGGAGGGGAACTGGACATCTCCAGAGAAGGTGCCAAAAGCTGTCACTGCAGCTCTAGGAAACCAGTTTGTCGTGGGGCCCACACTCACAGCAAACAATGGTAATATTTACCAAGTATTTCTGGAAAAATGAGTGCAAAGTGCAGGAAATGCAGTGCAAATTGCTAGAATGCAGTACATTAGCAACATAGGACATTTAATGAGTCTGAGAAGAGAGGTATAAATTTCAGGAAAATGTCAATTGCGGTAATGTAAACAAGAAGCTTCTCAATATCTCATTCTCCATAAGACTCTATTTCATCTCTGGTTATGACTAGAGCTGTGATTCTTGAGAAATATTTGATTCTAAACATCAAGGAGGGAAGAACTGGGGGAGAGAGAGAAGCAGAGGGGGTTGCTTGTGCATCACAAATTAGCAGAGAGCATTGGGGGCACTAGTGCCATCCCGTTGAGGAAAACTAAACCTTCAGCCAGGGCCTGCTGTGCTTCTGTGAAAAATCTTTTGCTGCAAAAACTGGATCCTGGGGAGGGGGAAACTGATCACATACCACAGGAGGGCTGGGAATGAGCGGGGCTGCCGATGGGCGTGGTGTCTAGTCAAGGTGAAGGAAACCTCAAGATGAAGGTCACCCAGTGCTTTTCCCTTCTCAGGGAGCCACATTCCTCCCGTTGCTGGGACCACGGAGGGACCTGGGAAATGGGCACCCACAGCCTCGTCCACCTAAACCCGACTCTTCACCAGTTCAATCCATGGTCAAGTAAAGTTAGGAAGCCCTCGGGCCGCAGATCCCTCCTCACATTCCTGTTGGGTCAAGAGACGTGCCCAGGATGGCAGAGTGATGGCTTGTCCTCCCTTCTCTGCAGTCCCTGACAGCATCATCGTGAAGGTGCTGAGCCAACGCCTGAGCCAGCAGGACTGCCTGCAGAAAGGGTGGGTGCTGCACGGCTTCCCGAGGGACCTGGACCAGGCGCACTTGCTGCACAGCCTGGGCTGCAAGCCCAACAGGTGAGCTGTCCCCTCCTGGCAGGGCTGTAGCCCTGGCCATACCACCTCCTGGGAGGGCTGTAGCCCCTGGGCATGCCCCTCTCTGCCGCTGGGCACCTTCCCTCCCGGGGCCCGGCTGATGAGATCCATCTGACGGCTTGCAGTTGACAAGAAACCTCACATGTTCCCGAAGTGGAATGTCTCTTAATCATTCTCATTCCCCAACCCCCCTCCATGTGCCCTGTGAACTAGGAGTCAGGCTTGGTTCAGATCCTGGCTCTGTCACTCACCTTGCTGGACCTGAACTTCCTGTCTACAAATGATAATACATACTGACCAGTCTTGCGTTTCTCATGGGATTGTTGTGTGAATCAACTGATGTTTTCTTCTACTATTTTTACAGTTTCATTTTACATTTAAATCTTTGATGCATTAGATATTTATTTATTTATTTATTTATTTATTTATTTATTTATTTAATTTATTTATTTAGTGAGGAAGATCAGCCCTGAGCTAACATCCATGCCAATCCTCCTCTTTTTGCTGAGGCAGACTGGCCCTGAGCTAACATCCATGCCCATCTTCCTCCACCTTATGTGGGACGCTGCCACAGCATGGCCTGACAAGTGGTGTGTGAGTGCACGCCCGGGATTCAAACCCGGGCCGCCAGCAGCGGAGCGCGTGCGCTTAACCGCTACACCATGGGGCCGACCCCTAGATATTTATTTTAATGAGAGTATGCAGTATGAATCTGACTCTTTTTCCCCCAAATGGTTAAGCATTTGTTCCAAAACAATGTCAAATATTGTTGAATATTCTGTCCTTCCTCCGCTAACTTGAACTTGCGAGCACACCACAATTGTAGATATTGTGGAAATAAACGAAGACCACCCAAATGAAGACGAGCAAAGACTATTTAGTCAGAGCTTGCTCTGGCAAGGGAGTCGGCCACGTTGCATTTGGCAGACACTCAAAGGCAGGCAGAGGAGTGGGAAAGCGTTCCAGCAGAAAAAAGGAAGGCTTGGAGCCCACAGACTTTGTCTTCACTGTAGGATGATCTATTTGGGCCATTTGAGCAGAACCCTCCCACCAAGTGTCAACATTTTTAGGTCCTTTCCTCGGTACCTCTCAGATTTGGGAGAGGACTGCCCAGTCTCCTGCTGGGGGGTAAAGTGTCTGGGTCCAGGGACGAGGCGGGACAGCGGGAAGTGGGAGGAGGTGAGAGGAGGTCTCACATACCGCCTGCCCTGTGTATATTTTTCGCCTAATTCCCCTATTTGTGTACAGACTCAGACTCTCAACTGTGCCTGGCATTATTCATTCCAGAGAGCCTGTATTGTATCCTCTCTAGAGAATAAACCCTCCACTTGTACCTAAGTGGAGGAGGGGGCGTTCGCTCAGCTACATGGAATGAGGAGGGGATCTGGGGCTTAATTTCTCCTTAAACAAATTTCAACCAATCCCCCTTATTTTAACCGCCAGTCCCAACGTGGTGCCTGTGCTGCACCGTCAGAGGATTTTCTGGTAAAGACTGGGTTTGTTAGCTCTTCCTCCTGCTAACTTGGCATTTGGCCGAGGTCTCCGCAGCTAGCCGCTGGTCCGTGTGCTTTTGAGCATCAAAAATTTTGAATTGCCTTCCTCTTCCTCTGTTCTCTCTATCCTTGTCAGTTAGGTTTCAAAATCCCTTACCTGTCATTTTTCTGTGGGGCTTTGGGAGAAAACACAATTTGGTGCATGGGTTCATATGCCATTTGTACCAAATTCAGTCCCAATCACTGCATTGCGTTTGCTTGTCTCTTACTATTACTTTCAACTCCTTTACTTCCCTTATTTTATATTGTCATGTGGACAGAATATAATTGGGTTTAATATTTTTTATTCAACCCATATGTCTTTTTCCTTGAATAGTTGAGTTTATCCCACTTATTTTTGCTTTTATCACTTCATTTGGTGCTTCATTATGGTTTTTGTTTGTTTTCCATCTTTTTTCGTGGTCTTTGTTTTCTTTGGATTTTCTTATGCTATTGTTAGCTTTTCTCCTCTCCTCCCAATTAATTTAGAAGATAATCTGTTTCTAGTTTTACTAGTCTCTTCAACATGAATTGATTATACTTGTATTTCTCAGTTTGTCAATTCTGAAATGAAACAGAATATCTTGGCTCTGTCACATGAAAGATGAAAGAAAAAAATGCTCCCTCATGTACTACCTCCTCACTCCCCTTCTGTCCACTCTCCAATTTGAGGGTGGGGAGGCAGGGAGAGATACATTCTGAAATTTTTTTGTCTCAGTCTATTATACACAGATTATTATTTTTAAGACCATTAGCTTTGCTTTCTAGAAATATAACAATTATATTCTGTTTTTAGCTATACTTACTATACTTGTTGAGTTTTAATTCTCTCTTCAGCTGTATTCAGATTTCAACACCAGCTATTTACATAATTCGACCTCTCCATTTATCAATTTTGATTCATCTTTCCTTTGAATGGATTACATCTTTGAGTCATTTTCAGCAAGGGTACATACATGCTAAACTTCCTAAATTCTTGCATATTTGAGAATGTCTTTCTGTTATCTTTATTTGTAAACAATATCTAGCAAAATAAAGAATTCTTCAGTCACATTTTTTCCCCCTCAGCATTCTGTATCATTTCTATACTGTCCTTTGACACTCTGGGGTGGCAGTAATGTCTGAGTCCAGTGAGATTTTTTTCCATTGTAGGTAATGTGCTGCTTCTGTCTGGATGCTCATAGAATTTCTCTCCTCTCTCTCTGTCTCTTTTGGAGTTCATTTACATTCACCAGGCCATGCTTCAGTCTTGGTTCTCTTTATTACTTTTCTCTGGAACACTATGAATCCTTTCCATTTATGTTATTTCAGGAGAATTTTCTTCTAGTACATATATGAATATTTTTCTGGTTCATTTGCTTGGTGATCTTATTTAGGAAGACCAGTTACGTGTGTATGTTGGATGTTTATCATCTGTTTTCCAGAGTTATGCTTTTTTTCTGGTAGCTTTTATCTTTTCCTTTTCTTTTCTGTATTTTTTCCTCAAATCTATCCTTCACGATAACTTTACTTTCTATTGTATTTGTGTGTGTGTGTGTGAGGAAGATCAGCCCTGAGCTAACATCCAATGCCAATCCTCCTCTTTTTGCTGAGGAAGATTGGCCCTGGGCTAACATCCGTGCCCATCTTCCTCTACTTTATAGGGGACGCTGCCGCAGCATGGCTTGACAAGTGGTGCGTCAGTGTGCACCCGGGATCCGAACCTACAAACCCCGGGCTGCCGAAGCAGAGCGCACGCACTTAACCACTGCAGCACCAGGCTGGCCCCTCTATTGTATTTATTTCATGTTGCTTCTAATTTATTTTTCATTTCTATAATGCTTTTATGTTTCCCTTAGTTTTTTTCCCTTGACTTTGTCAGCTTTCTTTCATCTCCTTTTTTATTTTATCTCATCATCTTTTCTTTCATTGCTTATATCATAGAGTCTGTTCTCTCTAAATTATTTTGAGCATATTGATAAGGCTTTATCTAAAATATATTTATGTTTCCTGGAGTAATTCTTCTTCCAAAGGGTATTCATTGTCTTTCTCTCTATCTCTCTCTTTTTTTTTTCCTTTTACTTTTAGGACCCTTTTTTGGTAAGTCTATACCTGGGTCCCAAGGTAGATATATCTCGCAAATCATTTGTCTTTGAATAGGCCTGTTATTTTGTCTAAGAATAGTATGAGTTGGTGTATTAGTTTTCTACGGCTGATATAATAAATTACCACAAACTCGGTGGCTTTTAAACAGCACAAATTTATTGTCTTACAGTTCTGTAGGGCAAAAATCAATATATCGGCAGGGCGGCATTCGTTTCTGGAGGCTCTAGGGAAAATTCATTTTTTTTGCCTTTTCCAGCTTCTAGATGTTGCCCACAGTCCTTGGCTCATGGCTGCTTCTTCCATCTTCAAAGCCAGCAATGTTATATGCTGGCCCTTCTTCTGTAGTCACATCTGTCTCTGACCAGAGCTGGGAGTGGTTCTCAGATTTTAAGGACCCATGTGATTAGATTGGGCCCACCTAGATAATCTACTACGTATCAAGGTCCTTAATGTAATCTCTGCAAAACCCCTTTTTCCAAGTAAAGTAGCATATTCACAGATTCTGGGGATTAGGAGGTGGACATCTTATTCTGCCCTCCATGCCCTCCACGGTTGGATTCTCCTCAGCTCTGTCTTAATTATTTCCCTAGAGTTGGGGCTGGAGAGCTTCCTACTGGAAGACTGAAACGTCTCTGTAGTTCCAGAGCAGCTGGGACCCAGCTGAGCTTCCTGAGCCTCCTGTCTTACTACCTGTGTTGCCCGTGAATTTCCAGGGACCACAGTGCCATGAGGCTGTGTCCATCCTCCAGTTTCTGATAATGTAACAGACTTTGGAGTCAGTGAGTTCGCTTCTGTGTAAACTCATCATCTACCTGAAGATGAAAGGCATCAGGGAAAATGCAAAACAGTCATTTTAAAGAAGTCTGGGGCTGGTCACTGACACGGTTGGGGGAGAGAATCCAGGGCTCATTTTTTCTGAACCCTGAGGGAAAAAACAACTGTTTTATTTATTGACCTTCTACGCTGTGCCAGGACTGTGAGACGGACGGGAAAGGCACAGTGTTTATTCAGAAGCATACAGGGAAGAATATTCAAGAATCGCTTTGATTTAGGGCAGGCTTGCAAGTAAATACTTCTCCATTCACCATGGAGTAAAAATCAGTTTCTAAAGACTTAGTGAATAATGCCAATTACATTTATTTGACCCTAGGGCAGAGGACAAGCAGGGGGAAAAAGATGTTTGTTTACAATGTAGATTTAATTACATGCCACTGTTTAATCATCCTTCTGTATTTCTCTCCCATCACCGAGAGTATATTTTCCCTCCTCCTTTCTCATCTCTATTCCATTTACTCCACCTTCGCTTTCAATTAAACATTTTTACGATTAATTCGGAAGGTAATTTTAGCCATAAACCTTCAAGTC